GTGAAAAGCCAGGAGAATGGAAATGTAGTTGGTTTGATATTTCGGCAACACGATTTTATCGAAACAAAAGCAGAAGTCGAATCGAAACAATCAAAACAATCGAAACAAACACTTCTGCTATTGTTCTCGTGAACGCATGTTGCCGAAATATCAACCCGACTATATCTCCATTCTCCTGGTTTATCTCCGAGGAATAAGGCTATTACTATCGCCTTATCTATGCGAATAATGTTCCTTGCTAATGTACTGAACAACTTACGTAATACCGTATTGCAGAGCCAATTTACTAACCAGAGAAATGGTGTTGTCTAGAGTGGTCTTTTCCATTTAAAAGTATGCCAATGGTCATAAGTGAGCTTATTTCGTCATGTATGATGCTTACTTCAACATTTTCAAACGTAGAACATTCCCTTTAACGGGAATGCTTTAATATTGGGAGATAATTGCCATTCCCACATTAGAGACAAGCATCAGACATAACGATATATGCTGACTTCCATCCATTGGCTTGCTTTCAAGTGTTCAAGACTGCTCCAGACAACACAATTCAGTTTGTCATCGCATGATGACGTCATGGAACGTCTGAAGTACTAACTTCATGTTGCTGCCAGGTTGGACGTGTCAGAGTTGCCACGGTAGCGGACGGGCTGCCTTCCTTAGCGTTCTTAATATCCCGAGAGGTGGCCATGGCGCTACTGGAGGTGTTTGCTAAAATGAATATTGCTGAGTGCTGCTGTTTTGGCCTTTTTCGTGGTGTTTCTTACATATTTGTCAGCTACTTTTATTTGTTTACTTACATCCTCGCACTCCGTCATGGCGCTTTTCTTAAGTTATTTGATAAGTTTTAATCAGTCAGTCATTTCAGACCCAGTCCGATTCCTAGTCTCAGTTTGTCTGGACTCACCTGAGCGACCATTTACCCGCGACCTGTCCGGACTCACCTGATGAGCGACCATTTACCCGCGACCTGTCCGGACTCACCTGATGAGCGACCATTTACCCGCGACCTGTCCGGACTCATCTGACGAGCGACCATTTACCCGCGACCTGTCCGGACTCATCTGATGAGCGATCATTCACCTGCAGTTGTCCGAGCTCATCTGACTAACGACTATTTACTTGCAGCTGCTGGTAGCTGCAAGTTGGCAGCAAGCAAGCTAGCAGCTTGGCAGCTGGCAGCAGCCAAGGGAAGGGCGTCCCCTTGTCCCGGAATTTTTCTTGTTTTCACGACAGATGGCGCTGGCTCGGTTCGGTTCGGTTCGGTTCGGTTCGTTTGGTTGGGTTGGGTTGGGTTGGGCTGGATTCAATTTGGTTCGGTTCGTTTCGGTTCGGTTCGGTACGGTTTGATGAGTGATCAGCTTCGGGAACACGCGTTCCCATCCGCCAACTGCTTCGAAGCCAGGTCGACGGACGCCGCTCTGCCGGCAGAGGGCGCCCATCGCTGGTCAGGCCGGACCAGCGCTGTGATCCCAGCTCCGCAGAACGCTGGCAGGACTGGTCCCCACTGGTCTCGACGGCGTGGAGTGACAGAACGGCCAGCCCTCCAGAAAAGCGTCCTCCCGCCCGCCTCCGCTCCAGCTTCTTCCCTTCCTCCGCGGTGAGCGGAACCCCCGGCAGGGTGAGATGGAGAGGGTGCTGGCCGGGCAGCCGGCACTTCCGCGCGCGTAGGCGGTGGCCGTGGTGAACGACCAGGCTCAGTCGCTCGCGGAGTGACGGCGGAACGGCTTGATCGATGTGGCCGTTCGAGGTACCGCCGACCACTTAACGCTATGATATGCAATACGATGTTTGTCACACCCGTCAATGTGGTGTTTGTAAGGTTGAATGCATGCAAGTCCAAGCA